CAGCTGCCACTGCTGCCTCGCCGCCTGGCCCGCCACCTGGCACAGCCGACTCGGTCTGGAGACCCTGGTGAGGGTGGCAGGCACCGGACTGGACTGAGCACTGCACCCCGTGCTGCTGGCACGGCTGTACATAGGTTATATGTTCATATTGGATTGTGCCTTTGTACCATAGCACTCCCTTGACAGTGTTTCGTGTTTTACACGAGATCTTTTTTCTCCCTTCCCTCCCCTTCCTTATGTGACACCAAAGATCGGGGTTTTTTTTTTTTTCTCTTTGAATGCTCTTAAAATAAAAGTGTCTCTTCCATTTTGGAAGGCCTTTGGAGATAAGTTGGACTGCTGGTATGTGTGCATAGGAAGGAGCGCAGCTCCTGGCTTGCTCCTGGCTGCCTGTCGATCGTGCTGCTCCAGGGCTGCCCTGTCCTGCTCTCCAGGCTGGAGCTGTCACTCAGACCCTCTGTCCCCTCTTCCCTGCCCTGGGGCAGATGTAATTACTGCTTCCTTGGGAGCAGCTCAACTGATCGGACTTGTTAAAAAGAGCTTATGTTTGCAGAGCTGGTGAATGCGCTGAGGGAGGCACCTCCGCTCTGTTCCTGGCTCCTCGGGCTGATGCAGTGGAGTAGCCCAGGTAAAGCAAGACGGATTCGGCACAGAGCCTGACAGCCCGGCTCCCAGTCTAGGCTGCCTGGGTGAGCCTCCTGCCCTGGACCCGGAGGGGCCTGCTCCCGGGCCGTGGTGTAAATCGCAAATGACTTCAGGCAGTTGATTTAGAGAGCGGTGCCTGCCAGCTTCTCATGTTACAAAAACACCGGCTCTCCGCAGGACAAGCCTGACACGAGTGCTCCTGTCTCCTGGCTGACAGGCTGCAGCAGGCGCTGGGCATCACCTCCACCTGGACTTAAAAGCACAGAGCTGTTCCCAGCCCTGAGCACCAGCCAGGCTCTGCTTGATGATTAATGCTCTGCATGTGTTTTTGATAGAGTTGGGCATTTCCTCTGCTATTATATGGAAAACATGTGTCTGGGGGAGTGATGTGGGGCTGTGCGGACTATCTCTGTAACTGTGAGCAGTAACTGACCCCTTTGACTTAGGGATGCCCCATTTCCAGGCAAGATGCAAGCCCTAGATAGAGGTGAGCAGCAGTTTCGGGTTACAGCTTGCATTGCCCTTCTTAACAAGTCCTAACTCGGAGCGGACAGCTTTAAAATGTGCCAGGATCCACTGGGGATTCCTTCCAAATCCTCCTGCAAAAGCTTGTTGGATTTTGGCTGGATCAGCCAGGTGCTTGACTGTATCCAGGTGCTGGGGAAATGAAAGCTGGGGAGAGTGTGAGACCAGACAGATTAAACCTGCTGGGGTTTGAATCCCTCCCCGGCTTATCCCCCCTTCTCCCTGTATACAAACACATCTTCCTGATCTGAAAATACTTCTTGGGATGGATTTTGGAGGGGGGCGGGAGTGTCTGGGATCTCTCTGCAGGGTGTGCTGATGAGGTTGGGGCCAGTGCACCTCTCTTTTAAAAGGGGCTGCAGGGGCTGATCTTTTTCTGCCTCCCAACACCTTGCTGCCCTGCCTGCATTGCCACCCTCATGGTGGCATCTTGCAGCCAGGTTTTGTGTGCCAGGGTTGGGAATATTGGATTTGCTGTCCCTAGGCAGGCGTGTAGCTGTACAGGCGCTGAGCCTGCCTTCCCTTCCACCAGCTGTAGTGTGACCTTTCTGTGCTGGAGGTACCGAGGGCAGGACTGAGCCCACCTTGTGTTCAGAGAAGCACTCACAGGACCTGTCTGTCTGGGAATCACATCAGACCAACTCCTGCTGCTGGTTGACCTGCGTGGAGCTGATGCAGACCGGTAACGCATCACCTGTAAGAGCTGAGGCTGTTCCAGCTTAGCAGAGTCTTCCTTTTCTGCTGAAGCAGTTGGTTCGGAAAGCACATTAGAAAAAAAGACTTTGCTGTAGGCTAATGGAGAACACATAGCAGATCCAGGAGTGAAAGACAAGACGAACCTATTTGCTAATGGAGTTTAAATAGCCTAGTATAAAGCAGATATGCCATGCTTGGACCGGTTTCTCCAAAGCTTTCTGTGTTTACTCTATCCCACAGCCTGTTGACATGAGAGATCTGCTTGAGTTTGTGAGCTTTGAAGGGATCAGAGCAATTCCCAGGAGCCGCGCTCTTGATGCCAATTCACTGAGCCCATGACAAATTGGGATGACAAATGCAGGCTGTGGGTCCATGGGTCATTATGTGCAGGAGTTGCCCTTCAGGTGCAGCAAGTGCCTTCAAACTGGGGTCGTGGGATGAGCAGGGAAGGGTAAGGGAGGGATGGGAAGTGCCAGGGAAGGGACAGGGCTGAGCTGCTGGATGGTGGCCTCTCGTTTGGCAGTGACCCTGCACGGGGCTGTGCAGGAGAGGTAGGAAAAGGGACTGGACTCAGTGCTGCTGGACAGGATGGAGCTCCTGTTGGCTTCCCTAGACACCCTGCTGAGCCCTGCCGGCCAGACCCTGGGGAGGGCTGGAGCCAGGTCTGTCCCCCTCAGATTACCGCTCCTTGGGTTTGTAAGCAGTTTGCCGCAACCCGGTGCGTGCATTTGCAGCCTGGAGAGTGCTGAGCTGGAGGGAGCAGCGTTCCACCCCTGCCTGCAGCGCACCTGCATGGGGGTCCACAGGCAGGGGGCTTCGCCTGCCTCCCCCAACACTCTGCCATGCCCCCCACCCAGCACGGGGCTTACATCCCTGGCTGCCCCTCGTATCCCTGCAGCTCCCTTCCCTGGGCCGCTGTTGCCGTCCCGGGAAACCTGTCATTAAAGTCAATTAACTTTTCCCACACTCCTCGCAAGCGGTGCAAAAACCCCTCCTCGCTTCCTCCTTGGCTCTTAAGTGCTACCATATGGCACGGGCCCCCGCGCCCGCCCTGCCTTTGATTCCAGCCAGACAGCCGGAGCTTTATGATTTAAGCCGGGAGAGCCCTCGTACCAAGCCCTGGGCCGCTCTGCGGCCCAGCTGGTTTTTTTAGCAGGCAAGGCGGGTTTCTGGCAGGAAATGAATAGCTCCCAGATGAGCTCAGGAACCTGAGAGGTCGTGAGAAAGGAGCGAACCCCCGGCGCGGTGGCGGGCTGCCAGGCAGCGCGGGGAGCGCGGGAGGGAGCGCGCCGCCGCC